TACCAGTTAATATATATAATATATTTATTTTACTAAATTAATAGAAAAGCTAAATGAGAAAATGTTTGCCCCAGCCGAACACGAGAGAAAAACGAGCACTGTATTTGTGTTGTGAAACAGATTTATTTAGTGTTTTTTCAAATTATCTGGTCATTTTTTTCAAGAGAGCTCAGTGGTCCTGATTCAAATCTTCTAAATATTCCTCTCTTGGTTAAGACGGATTGTAGTAAAGACAACAACTCCAATGATGGCAAGCTACTTCATGACGTCACCAAACTCTATCTTTTTTTATTGTTTCGACTGAGAAACCCCTGGAGGCAGAATTTGACATATTGTTTATTTTGAAGGATAGAGATGAGGGTGGTGTTGATCTTCTAAACTACCTCTTGCCATGATATAACTGAAAAAATACTCCTTAAATATAAAACTTTTCTCTTCAACCTGAAAGTTATGGCCCATGAAAATGCATCCAAAAATTACTATTATTATTTTTGTAATGTTTTCATATACATGTAAGTATATGAGCCCTGTAAGGAGCAATTGTACACCAAATTAAATAGTCCTGATTGGCTTCAAAATCCACAAATGTCACTCATCTTGGCTCCAATTCTCTGTTTAAAACCCTTTAACCGCCAGCGCCACCATTTGGTCGAGCACATTTTGTGTCTTGATATCTTGTTGAAAAAAAAAAAAAAAAAGTGTAACTCCATCAGATTCAGCCAGCTCTACCCTTTGGTTGACATGTTATGCACAAAACAACCTCTAGATGTCACTGTGGTTCAAACAGAATGCCCTTCAGCTAGCTTCAACTGAGAAAGTTGGAATTCTAAAAAATCACTGCTGAAGAAATCACTCTTTTTGGTCAACTTTTGTAAGGTAACCATATCATTTTTGACATATTTTAGTGTCAGAGCACTGAGTGAACATAATTAGATAACTTGATGCACACATTTTTTTTTAGCAAGGGTGTAATTATTTTTTGGAAAATATGGTCAACCAACCGGTAGATTTGGCCTTTTATGGTAAACTAGCAATATGACTTTTTCAGAGTTTCAGAGATGTTTTTCAATAAAATATGGTAAATAAATGGCTAGATTCATGGTAATATTACTACATCTAGTAGCCTACTGCCTTATGAGTCTCAGAGTGAAAGAGTGATAATAATTTATATAGGACCTTTCATGCATGAAATGCAGCCCTAAGTTACACACAGATGAGCAAGTTAGGCCAACACAGGATATATACATTTCCTGTTAGGCCAGGGGTTTGTTGTTAGGCCAATTCAGCATACAGTAAGGTGAGCAAGTCTTTTTTTTATTATGAAAAATACTTAACATTACTTTTTGCCCGAAAAAATGGTTTACAATTATAATTTATTATCTTTTATGAATCTATCTGGTTGTATATTATGCTAATTTTCCATAAAAGAAGCAAATGTATTTGAGTTTGTGTTTTATTTTAGTTTGATGCATACAAATACTGTACTGTATATGATGATTGTTGAAAATGCACTTTTACCATAAAAGACCAGCTCAACCAGTTGGTAGAGGCTCATAAAAACAAAACTGTGTGGTCAGTCGAAAAAATAAAAATTCTTTGTCGTTATTTGTGGCCCATTTGATAAAAAAATGCAAACAAATAATTTTTCCATAGCTTTTTTCTTGGTCTGGCAGTTAAAGTGTTAATTCAAGTCCTTTTTGGCCTGACAAGGTCAAAAACAGAGAGGTGTTACAAAGTTGTGCACAGGTTGGCAGGTGCGGACTAGTACACACACTTTTTTATGTGTGTGTGTGAGTGTCATCACACATGTTTGTCTGGAGGCCTCTGTCCTCTTTTGCCCATTTCCCCAGGCAGAGGACCCCTGTCTCGCCTGCCATTTCTCAGGCTGACAGCTGAGAGCTAGACAGCGGAACGAAAGAGCAATGAGGGAATGTGGGGAGAGGCAGGGCTTGAATTTGAGGAGAAGGAAAGAGGTAGAAATACAGGAGTGGCTATCGCTACATCATCCCCCTCACCCACCTTCCCCCCTCTTTGGGGACCAGGTGTTCTCCTTCTGAGGGGGCATGACTGGAAAGAGGAAATAAAGCCTAACCTCATGTTTCACTTGGCATCTCTGCACCTGCATCTGCGGGGTTGGGAGGTGAGGAGGGGGCAGGGCGTCAGAATAGGTTGGTCTCTGGAGGCTACAAGCTTTGTTGTGTCACCACCCTACAGCAGACTTCCATGCCCCCACCAACCCCCATCCCTCCGCCTGACACATCTTCTTGAAAATAATGCCAGGCTTTGAATCAGCAACTCAAGCGTTTCCCTGTCCTCAAACCAAACTCTTTATTTTGTTTCCATCGTGTCAGGTAGCTGCTTTTGTGACATTGGGAAAAAGTCAGACGTTATCGTATTTTTTTGTGGTTTGTGTTTACCCCTTTTATCAGTCTAATGTTATTAAAGGGGCCTTTTTTGGGGATTCCCTTTCCTTACCAAAGTGGTTGACCAATCACAAGAGATCCGGCCTGCTAACCAATCAGAGCAGACTGGGTTCTTGTTTCAGATAGAGGGTGAAAAGAGGTGCTGCATCACAGTCGATATAAGAAAAATAACTAGCTTTTTGAACATAAAAGCTTTGATTGAATAAACATTAGCATAATAGTGCCCCTTCAAGTCACTGTGTCCACGTTGTTTATCTTACATTCTGTTTTAACAGCCTTAAATTAAATGTAGCTTTCCACTGGATCCATGAAGACTGTTTTCTTGTTCCACTAGCATACCAGCCATACACTAGCCGTTTTGTTTTGCTTTGCGTGCGGGCATCTATTGCTTTCAGTGATGTTTGTTCTTTTATAGTAGTCATCCAGGCTTTGCTTTTGCTTGTTTGTCTCTGTCAGCCATGTTGTGTTAGCCTACCGCTGGAGGGTGAGGTCTGTCCTCCACTGGGTTGTTTCCCCCCTTAAGGTCAGGGCGTGAGTCAGAGGCCTGATTCCGTCACCCCAGGTTACCAACTCACTACTTCCTGTCCAGAATATAGAATGAGAGGGCATGGTGGCTGAGGGCAAGACGGTTCAGGCCCCGTGAGTGTGTGTGCGTGTGATGTTATTGGAAAAGCAGTTATTGTTATCCAGGCTGAAAATTGTTTGTTTTTTTTGTCCTGGTTTCACTGAGCCCAGAGGATGGACATATCTAGTCTTTATATCATAATCACTATTTTAAACACAGTATGGGGTAATACCAGGGGCCATTGGCAGATATTATTAAGTTCAAAATAAAACATACTTTTTCATTGCGGCAATAATGTTGTATTTTCACATAGAAATGGAGCGAAACTTCATTAGCAACATCTGCAAAGGAGGTAAGGTTTTGGGTTTGCTATAATGGTGTATATATTTTCTGTGTCATCAGGATTTAGGAGTTGTTCTTTCTCCAAAATGCTATTTTATTTTGCTCTTGTTTCCACATGATTGTGTGTCCAATAATCACTGTCTGTTTAGCTTTGGTTTATTTTCAACAATCTCTGGAGGGAAAAGCTATGCGGTTGCTATCACCTGGCAGATGACATTGTGAGAGTAAACAAAATAGTAGCAGTACCAATAAATACATTATGTGGTAAGTGAGTTTACTTTCTGTTTATCGCACATCCATGGTGCTCACACTGGAGAAAGAGATTTATTAATGCATTTTTCAAATCAACCAATAATAAAAGTAAAATATGCCCTACAAGACTTACTTAAGTTAGCCCTAAGATCATTAATGCTAGACACATATGCTATGTCTTACGAATATCAGACATTTTTGGATTAAATATGTGAAGACAGAAGTAACTGTGGCCTCAGTGGTTTGATGAAGGTCATATTGCGAAACTGAAAAAGAAGAACCTGACTCATTTCATACCTTGGAAAAGATAAGAAAAAGCACAGATGAGGGTAATTTGGGTCTGTATGGGCTTTTTTGTGCAGCCTGTCCACGCTGTTCTGGAGATATCAGACGGTAAAATATGCTGTCGACAGCATCTTTAATAAGACCTGAGACAAAAAAACGATGAACAATATGAACAAAAGAACAGTGATTCAGTATGTGACACTCTTTACTTTTTATCGAATCAAACCACAGATTAAACATATTTTGTTGAAACAAAAGCATAATTAAAAATGTTTTGTTCTGACTTTCACATTGGAGTGTCCTTTTTTAAAAGAGTTTCAATTAAAAAATTATCTTTGGACTAATGTGACGTTATTTAAATTGCTATTTAGCAACCCATACTCATTTGTAAGGTGTGATTATCATGCAGGATGTGTTTGTGAAGCTAATCGTGTAAAATGATTAATGCTTGAAAGCCATTGCTTTTCTATTTTGCAACATCATTCAGACAACCATTTTCACCATGGGGCGAAAATAATTTCAAAACATTTCTTACCTAAGGTGAAACGAAAAAAATTATCAGTTTGGATGGAGTTTGGCGCGGGGAAAGATAGCAGGCATTTTGTTAGACGTGCACGGGGTCAACAGGGCGGCGAGGCTACGTCTCAGGTCAATAGGTTGTTGCAGAAGTAGCAGGCCCGCAGATAAGGGAAGAGATGGGAGGAGAAATGGGCATTGGAGCGCGGACTGTAATAGCTGTCTGCTCTGGCCTGATGAGGTGGCTGGGGAATAGAGCCCAAAGATTCCTGCTTGTGTGTGTGGAATTGTGTGTGTGTGTGTGTTGATTGATGGGGTGGCGAGGGATAAGAGTGGGTCCAGTTGGTAGGTGTGTGTCTGCATGGGTGTGTCGTGTAGTGCAGGCGGTGTGTAGTGGACGTGGTGAAAGGTGATAGGGCCGGGCTGTGTAAATGATGGCTGATGGGGTCTCTTGAAAGTCTATTTAGCCAGAGTAATGAAGTGCGTCTGCCAGGGGAAGAATATGAGGGACAGGCTTGGAGGCTCAGACAGACAGCTAGGTCACCTCACTCAACCTCGTATGGAGAGAAAAGGAGAGATGGACAAGATGATTCAGTTGCAATGACTGTTATTCTTACTCTGTCTGCCATGGAGGTGCCTTGGAGGACAAACAGATCAGGTAAACTCACTGCCATTGATATAATGTCAGTCTTCACCTGTAGGTCATGCGGCCTGTACTTCCAAGCCAACATTTTTGCCTTGACTTTCTTTCTATCTGTCTCAGTGGCACTTGAGCTCAGTATAAAAGCTCCAAATTGTAACATTTCAAGCTGTTGGCCTTGATTGTTAACTAAATCCCTTGAATCTCACTCCAAATGAAACTGGGAAGTCAACCTTGAGTTTCCAATGCTGTATTGTTCCATAAAGTGTTCCATAAATGGGTCTGTTGCATTGTTAACTATTAATTATGTTAAGTTGACATTGAATGCTTGGGCTGACTGCAACTTGTTTTCTGATCATGTGGACCAATATTTTACTCAGCTTCATGTAGATCAGGAAACATTTCTAATTTCGGACCACATATTTGTAGTTTATCAGTAAAGAACATGTTCTATGTCTAATATCTTTATGTTCTAAAACCAAAAGTGTTAATATTATGTTGGAATCTATTCCTCAAGTATGACTGAACCCATTTAATACAATTGGGAAAGGTAGCCATGGGAGAGCAATACACCACAGCTCTTGAGGTATCAAGCTCATAACAGTGTAACGGGAGAAGAACAATAAAGTTATGATATGGTTATTTCACGTATCTCTATAAGGAAATATTGGAAAATATATTGATTGAGTAGTTCAGAATGTATGTAACATTCCGAAAACGATGATCAAACATGCAATTCTCAAAACAATACACCAAGTTTCCAAATGACCCAGGCCAAGGCAAAGATTGAACTCTTCACACTCTCTTTTTTCTGATTTTACCAAAAAAATATTCTTATGCACAAACAACACTTTGAATGCCTTCTGAAAGAATCCCTATCAGCCCCCCTTGAATACCCCAAGGGGTTTCATGAGGATTTAAGGTGTTGATGTTGATGTAGAACATTTTTCAAGACTTCTCAATTAATGTTAAAAGGGTATTCAGAGAGTGTCATAATGGAAAATGTTGAGAACTGGCAATCAGATGGGCTCGAAGATCTAATGGGATATCCTGTTTACAATATATGGGTTCTCGGGCTAATTCTAATAATATAATGCTGGTCATTGAGTATGGCTTTGTTGGAGTAATAACTGTGAATACACATTTTAATACCACTGTATGACCATGCTGGTACGACGATATTTACGCCCTATTACCCCGTATTCCTATACAATAACCAAACTGTTCTTTCTTTTTCTTATCCGCCCATTTTTCAGTCATAAACATATTCTGGGTTTTTCCTCTGTAAGATTTTAATCAGGACCCCAAAGGCCTCTAATTCAAGAAGGCACACATTGCATCAGTCGCATGCCCTGGTCCCACGTATCCCTGCTCCTAAAAAAGAAGGCTATCTTGTGAAGGATACAAACAGATCATATCTGTTTCTAGGCTGTCAAGTGAGGGACGTTTGAATCCCCCTGACGACCCCAAGGCTTTTGCAGCAGTAGATTCAGACTCCAGCGTGCTTCTTCTTCGTCTTGTTTCTGTAAACTAGTGCCAGGCCATGTAAAGATCACACTGGAGTGAAGGGGTAGGATTGGGATGTAGGGGGATGGTGATTTTTGAAGAAAATGGACCGAAGGCTCAAGTGGCAGGCACCAGAAGTTTTTTTCATGAGCTAATGAGGTCAGGGAATGAGAAAAGTAGAACAAAACCATAGTGATTACATCTTGACAGTCCATGAGATTCTTTTGGGATAACTAAATGTCTTTTCATGAAAATGTATGTGCTAAAAACAACAGGGCAATCAGTGGATGTGCTCCATGAGGATTTTAAAAAATACGTTGCTTCTTGCTTTGACTGAACAAATGGTTCACAGCTTTTGGCTGTTTTTACACTATGCCTCCTTTGTCTGTAATAAATAAACCGGCTTCAATCCAAGCTTATAACATTATTATGAACCACACTTTTAGCACATTTGGAATGGCAACACTATTGATAAAATGAATTATCATCAAAGTTTGTACATTTTTGGATTTGCATTGTGCCCAGAGGATTAATCATACTGACCTTGGTGATCACTTTCTAGTAGTAGGTAGTAGACTTTTTGTTAGCTTCAAAAGACAAATACAGGATGTATTGCTATGGAAATTGATGAAAACCTTTGTTCCCGAGAGGATATATCCTAATCCCCCAACTTTTTCTCGAGCACTAGCATCAAACAATGCCAAGCTTTTTACATTTGTTCAGCCTTTCTTGGTTTGAGAATAACTTTAATACCTTTATTTTGCTTTTTAAGGTCTTAGCCATTGGATAGATTCCCATGAAATGTTGTTCAACCATTCATGTGCACATGTTGTTCATATCTGACTTTCATCTAGCGTCACTATCATGGTCAAATTTGTAATATTTGAATACTTTGGTTTATGACCAAATAGCCGCAGAACTAACATCAGCCTCAGCTGAACTTGGTGTTTAGTGCTAATTAGCTGATGTTAGCATTCTAAACAATAACACCTGCTTTGTAATAACCTGTTAGCAATGTCCTTGTGAGCTTGTTTGCATGCTAACATTAGTATTTGGCTTAAGCATATGGATTTAAGCTTAGTGTTTTCTGATCAATACATGCTAATATTCTTAAGAAACCCAACAAAACACACATTAGATCATTTCAATGACACTGTTTATTAATCACCATTTGACCTGTGTGTGTGTGTGTGTGTGTGTGTGTGTGTGTGTTTGGGTGTGTGTGTGCATGTTTGTGTGTGCAATACTTTGCACCATGTATTGTCTGATTATGTCCATATTTATCCGTGTATGCCTCTCTTGTATGATTGTAAAACCTTTGATATCTAGCTCGATTGTGATTGCCCCCCGTTCCTGTACATGAACACATAGTCTGCTAGTAAAAATACACAACAGGCCAAAACAACTCAACTGGTGTCTTTGTTACACACAACAAGGCCCAGCATCTGTCAACGGTGAAAAGTAACATCAAAAAAGAACATCAACTTAATCCTTGGTTGGTGCGAAGGAGTTTGCTTATTTAGGCAGAAGCACTACTCCTCAATTGTATCCATACATGTCTTGATTTTGTAGCACTTGGAATTATTAGATTGAATGACAGTATGAGGTGTAGAAACTAACCAATGGTTACACAGTTTTCAGAAAAAAGTATATTGTATATATATATATAGTTATATATAGATTTATATTCATTTATAAGCTTTTTAAAATAGCACAGTAAACACTTTGCACACATGATAAAAACCACTGAGTGTGTCTGATTGTTTATGTATAGGCCAATGGCATCAAGGGAACCATATCCTGGTAAAGGGTCATTTCACTTTCTCTGCAGTCAGCTCAGGAAGGAACTGTTAGTCACTAGTTTAGACATGAGAACATTCATTTGTGATATTTTATTGATAAACTGAACATGTGGATTGTTTTTCTCTCCTTTTGTTCTACGCAGTGTTAAAATCTCCTTCCTGAAGTGGCTAAAGTTAAAAGAGGACTGAACCCGGCTCCTGACAGCATGTTCCTGTCTGTAACAGTACGTTGGAATACTTTAGTCTGCACACTTTAACCACACAGAAAGAACAACAGAAACAAAAAAAAGAGAAGTTATATAAAGACAGTCAAGTCAAAAAACCGGAGATACAGAATTTATAGTACTGCACATCATCTCTGCTCGTCCCCTTGTCCTTCTTTTTTATTTCCCCCGTGTTTTATACCTGTACAACACCTGATCTCTCTCACTCTATGTCTAACCTTCTGCTCAGTTTCTCACTTCCTCTCAATTTTTTTACCCCACACAGTCTCTGTACAGTTGGCTTAGTGGTGACCATAGAAATAGCTAAAGGGCTCCGTGTGACATTGGTTGAAGTTTGTACAGAAACATTATTTTTCTTCGTCATGTAAACAGGCACACACAGATCTCTAGAGGCTAACTCCTCAGTCCAAAAAAAAACAACCCACCTCTGTGGGCTAATGGGTCCCTCTTCAGGTTTTGTATTCCTATGTCCGTTTCAGTTCCTCTAATCTGTCTGCTGATGACTTAATAATTTCACATGTTGAGTGTTTCGGCCCCAGTCTCAGTCCTGCTGAGAGGAATAAGGCCTTGGATTGCTCCTCAAAATATCTTGAGGTTTACAGCTAATCAGTATTTAGTTCTCCTCTTCTCCCCCGGCGACCACTGCCAAGGCTTTGTTACAGTTCGCGCCCAAGATAATGAAGCTTAACCAAGGTTGCTTTTGTCCAGGTTACTGTTTGTGTAGTTTTATGTTGCTGTCTCCGGTATCAGCGTTGGTGGTTTTAGCACAGAAATTCACGCTGTCTCCGACAGGTCTACGTGGAACGAGCTAGCAAATCCTTTTGCGGGCTGAAAACACAGAGAACACACTTGTTAAAGACAAATGGCACCCGATCCCTTGAGACTCTTTGGTGACACAATCGGCTCGAAATACCGTCTCTTGAAGGATACGTGCCACAAAGGACTCTCTGTGAAGTTATTTATATACCCTAAAGGCTGGTCCTCACAGTTTTAATGGCAAACTAATTTGGGAATTGGGTAAAAAACATGTCCATCAGTAAAGATAAACATTTGAAATGTGGTGGCTACATAATGCATGCCAGAAAATAAACAGAGCACTAATTGCTTCATTAATTATCTATAAATGGCTCATTAAACATTCATAAACCCTTTATCAAGGCAACCCTGGTGATCAGAGCAACGCCAAAGCCAGTAGCATGCGGTGCTATTTTTAAAGTAGAACATGATGCCAATTGGTTAATAGAGCTGCAGCCTCTGGGACTATTCCCATCGTTTTCACACTCTGATGAACAACAGAACCTTTCCAGTTTCAACGGGTGGTCAATTTATTTCAAAAAGACCTGGAAAGATGGATGATATCAAATGAGTAAAATATTAAACGATTAATAGAGTTGTGAGTTTTTTGGACAGAGCGAGTATGGAGTGCATTTATCCTAACCCCTTCGAGGCAGACGAGATGAGCAGACGCACAGGTAGCTATATTTGGAGCATAGCACACTCTAGCACCTAAAGGCTAAATACAAATTATTTTTCCTGATGTGCGAGAGGAAGATTGCTTGGGTCTGTTTGCTAAGACGCAAACAAGGAGTGGGGGGGAAAGCAGGTTATAGAGCTTATTGTTTACCTGAGAGACAGTCCACAGCCAGCATGCAGTATCATGGAGGATGGTGGTTAACATGGTGGTGACTTGACTGGAAATGACTTCTCTACTGAATGTGTATATCGAATCCATTCCCTACTCTTAGAGCTAATAGAATATTCATGTAATGTGGGAGCTTGGAAAGCAATTGACATCTACAAGAAATGTCCTGCCAATGATTCCCTGTCTGCGTCTTTAGAATGCCATCTCAATTTATTCCAATGGATATCAATACCTCTTATTAGGCAAATGACGCCTTCCTCATATTGTTATAGTTTTCCTTCTTTCTTGCACACAAACTTGTGTTCGTGATATTACCAACTGAAGAATGTTGACCTCAGTCAGCCCAACCTCACCCACCATTCTTTATGTCAGGTATTGATTCACTAGCAAGCAAGTATAGATACTTGACACTTCCTTTTTAGAACAAATGGACTTCAATCCTTGTGAAAAAGAAGTAGCGTGGGTTGTGTGTTTCACTTTTCGAAGCTATTCAGTAGGGAAGTCATCTTGATCGAGCTTGTTGTTGAGCAAATGGAAAAATATGTCCTTTACAATGAGATGAGCTACCTTTCATTTCCTCTCCATAATCTCACATGATGTTTTAAACAGTACTTGGCATTTTAATTGTGTTTGATGTGTGCTTGTGTTGCTAACCTTTACTTGTATGAGCATCAGATAAAAAAAAAGGCTTATTGGGGAGGATTTCATGGGGAATTTAAAGAAAGGTAAAAAAGAAAGAAAAGGGGCCACAACAGTTTATCATGAGTCTGTATTAAATTATTTTATTATAAATGACATGTTCACAGAAATGATTTAGGGTTAGGATGGCGTTAAATTGAATTTATCAAAGTGGGTTTTGGAGGATAGGGAGTTAGCAATAATATATTACATTTTACATTCAACAAAAAAATCATAAATTACAAAATAAAAAGCGTTACAACAAAACATAAAGCTGTGTTTAAAAAAGAAAAAAATATATAGATAGATAAGCAACATAAAAAAGTCCCGATCAGAATCAAAAAGGCAGATTCATGGTCCCCTGATTTAGTATCTGTTCTGGACCAGACCAAAGTCATAGGGTCCCAGGGAATTTTCATACTGATACTCACAGAGAAAGGTGGGTTTGTATGGTAGGGTCCCCCTATCATACTCTTTCCTCTCTAGCGTGCTGGAGCTGTACTGCGGCTGTTGCTGATGGAGGTGATGGTGAAGGCTTTGGTGTGACTGTGACCTTTGACCGTCCTTGCCAAAGGTTGAGAATGACCTATCGTTGGACGAGGCGGTGGACGAGGCCATGGTGAGTTGATCGGGCAGGTTGACGGAGGAGGGTACCTCAGTGTCGGGCAACGTGGCGTCCATGCCGGGGACGTGCAGGTTGCTGCGGTAGTCCGGCCCCTGGCGCCCATCGGACGGCACAAAGGAGGGCATCCAGCAGCGGTCCGAGTGACCCAGGGCCTTGCACTCCTCCGTGCAGTTGGAGAACAGGTCAGCGCCTGCAGTGAGGTCACAGATCAGGGTAGATGGAAAAATATGAGAGGGTTGGGCGTCGGGAGAGGTGAAAATGTGAGATCAGAGAGATGTAAGGATGATAAGTAAGAGGGAGGAGAGGGAGAAGCAGATATTTGGAGTGGAAAAGGCGAGATGGAGGAGATGAATGAAAGAAACCAGAAGAGAGAACACAAGTTAGTAATCATTTGCCAATGTTGCAAGCAGAATAAGTGCAGCAAAAGCTATTCATCAAAGAAACAAGGCCAACATTGATGAAGCGAATTGTTTGTTTTCCTCCTCACCTCATTCATTCCCAATGAAATGTGCAATCAAAATGATGTGAAAACATTTCAACCACCCCACTCTCAACATCAACATCCTCCGACTCACCATTGATTCCCAAACACCAAGAGATCAAAATGTGAATCCATATCCCATCATCTTCAAACACAGAAAAAATGAAAAACGCAAATTCTCGCAAGAAAAGTGCCTCAGATAAGCAACACAATATTTACTAATTGCTTAATCACACTCTTACAGCAATCATCTCTATACACACCGACAAAGTGTGTAATTGCCACGGAGCTAATGCAGATGACAAAACAAAGACAACACAAAAAAATTAAATTGACATCTTTAATCATATCATAGAATACCCCACACAGTCCTGCAATTGGAACAAAAGAGGTACCAGTTATGTAAATTAGTTGATTTTAGAGAGAATAGAGAGAGAAGAGAATACCAAGAAAATTATAAAAGGGAAGAGAAAGCACCAATAGATATAAACATTCATCTTAGTAAAGGGACTCTGCAGCCATTTTTTTACTCATTCGCAGACCGGAATTTGTAGTTATTTCTCGGTGTTCCAGTTATTTCCCGATTTTCCAGCAAAGCCATGTGGGAAAGCACGTCGGAATGGCAGGATCAAAGCGCAGACGAGCAGTTTAGGGTCCAAGGAGGAAAGCGATACATCACTGAGACTGAAAAGGGAACGAGAGAACTCCAGAAACTAGACAATCTTTAATCTGTTATTCCCCAAGGGCTGAGAGGCCTTCAGATCAAAGGGTCCATTTACACAAATCTATCCGACTGATCCATTCCACTGATAATGCCTCTGTACCTCTATAACTAAAAGCAGACGGGCGCACACACAAACAATGTAATGCAAGCGTATACATATCAATAGATATTATACTACAGAGAAAGATAAGTAGAGTGTGTATCACTTTTAATAATCAGCATAAATCAATCCAGCCATCTCATTGAAGTAACAAGATATCTGAACCCTACGAACCCTTTCAGAGTCATTTCAGTGCATTTTTATTTCACCCATTGTTGCCTTTTTCCCCTCGAAGGAAATCACACAGTTATGGCTTCAAATGGGGGAAAGTGAAAAAAAATCTATTTTTATTGCAGATATACTGTCAGTAATGATTAAAAAAAGAAAACAGATATCTGGCAATGATATATAACGTCATTTTGATGTTTTTAATTTGACAGGAGTTTTATTAGGTTCACTTTTTACCATAGGACATGATATATAATATTATATTAAGCTTCACCTTAACTTGCAGCTTTAAGTAAATAAAGTATAGTAAAATCCCATCCACATTCTTCTCTGTTTATATTAAGACCTGATTTTAGAATAGGAACCAGATTACGGATTACACGAAGGGAGGGAGCCGAGTATAGAGAATGTGTCACAGGGAAATGATCCCCCAAAAGATGAATAGGGCCCCTTTTTGTGCGGCTACATCGTGTTTCTCAGGCCACATACATACCTGCAGATATACATAATTTGTCATGCTCAGTATGGGTTTCGGATAGAAAAATCTGTATCTTTAGTTAACACAGTTGACTGCTAAAACTTAAATCAAAATGAGGCTGTAAAACACATGCAAATGCAGCGTTACCTACTGTCTCTATCAGAGAAACTACACCTTATTTCAGGAAGGGTTAAAGGTTCAACAAAACAGCAAAAAAGTAAACGCATCTACTTATTTTTCTACTTTTGTAATTATATTGAGTTACAATCACTATGGAAACTGTGATGAACATTGTCATCATTATTTTGTAAATGTAGTTTTACAGTAAAGGGGACCTATTATGCAAAATCCACTTTGTCATGTATTTTATACATAAACATGTGTCCCCTCTGTGGAAAGAGATTCTGAAGGTTTCAGGAACAAAGATTCTCTCTCTTTTTGTCCTGATCCATTTATATAAAAACCTCTCTGAAAATGAGCTGATCAGATTTTAACCACTTTATGATGTCATAACGATGTTTTGTCTTGAGTTTTGTAGGTTTGGGTGTTTTTGCTGTTTTCCATGTCATGTTTCCCTTTGGGTTATTGTCTTGTCATTTTCCCTGTGTTTTTCCTCTTGTCATTAGTTTCCCTGGTGTGTCAAATGGTCTGATTATGTTCACCTGGGCCCCTGTGTTTTCTCCTCCCTCCTCACCTGTGTCTTGTTGTGTGATTGAGTCTTGTGTGTATTTAAGTTCTGGGTTGTCTGTCTGTCTTGGTCGGTTCGTCTTGTTCCCTGACTAGTTCTGCGGTGAGTGTTCTGTTTGTCATTGCATAGAAATATCATAGCCTTGAAATAAAGGAATTTTCAGTTTGTATCTGCATTTGGGTCCTGCTTGTTTCNNCCCCACCTTATCACCTGACTCTCCTCCGAGAGCACCATTGTTTAACCAGATATCTCTCAGAGGGGCGTGGGGAGTGGCTCCTTATTTTCATCTAAAGTAACAGACAGAGAATCAGCACTTTGGAAACAGGGCTGAAACAGAGGGGATTATGGGATGCTGCAATGCATGATCAGTATAATAGGGGACCTTTAATACAACTTGAATTAAATAAACAATGACTTTTATTTATGGGAAATAGATCATAGATGTATACATATATGCGTATTAGTTGTTATTTTTCATGTTCTAAAGCCAAAAGGAAATAAGTAATTAAGGAAATTGGAATAAAAGTTAAAAGGGTCGATTTGGTCCAAATAAAGACCTTTCTGATATAACTTAGTACCAGAACAGATACTGAATATAAAGGCAAAACTAACCTTGACTCAATCCGCTATTATAATAATGCAAGTTCTAATTGCCAATGTCATCTGGTCCACATGTAAATACCATCTATTATTTACGGCAGCACTGTCAACACACTGTCTAAGGCCTACTGTTGTGTGCATGGTGTGGATCTAATCGTGTTGCTAATTCAGGCCTCACAGGGAGCGAGACGGGCAACAAAGACTGTGCCGTGGCCAAAGAGCCAGAGGAGACACGAGTCTCACAGACAAGGGACAGCAAGGGCCAAACAGCCGGGGGCGGGGGGGAGTCACAGATTTCACAGAGAGAGACAGCAGGCAGGAGAATCAGCAATACTGCAGGAACCATAAGGAAGGAGAGGGGAGACCCGGGCTATCACAGATGGAAACAGCAATGGCCAGAAAAGACAGGGGGGGAGACCCATATTGGGCACGAGAGTAGGGTTACATAGAGGTGGGCTGGGAGGGAGATACATTTAAGTACTTGAAATAAAATAAAAACTCCAATTAAACATGATCTTTTATGTTTTCCATCATATGGATTTTTGACAGGGTTGGAGTACCCTCTTATCGAACTATGCAGGGTCATGTGTCGCTGCAGGCTTTTTTGGGGGGTAAAATAATGAATACGAATAGATGCAGAGACGGTTCATGTATGCTTAAACTTGGATTGAATTAATGAATTCAACAGAGGATTAACAGCACAATCTTGTTTTCCTGTGGGATACTACAATCTGGTCTATTTGTAAATAGCTGCATATAAGGGCCGAACATTTATAATAATAATAACACTTTATTTATATAGCGCTTTTCCTGGTGCTCAAATTGCTTTACAAGCAAATATAGAACAAATATTGTATTAATTACTTCTATTTTCTATATATTCAATTTTCATTTGTAATGATATTTGGGGTTGTTGAAGTGGGTTTGTATGAGGTGTACAAGTTTAGTTTTCTAAACTGGGGGTGTGCAGACACCATCTGTACACTAACTATGAATGATTACCTCATGCCATCCCATTTTCAAGATCCCAACCTATCCCTTGAACGTATTGTATTTGGTTTAGCAATTTTTAGTGTGGCCCTAAAGTATCATGCTAATTTTCAGGTTTCATATTTGTTTTATGTCCGTGCTTTAATTTTCAAAAATTAAAATTAGCACCTCTTTTCACCCTCTGTCTGAAACCAGAGCCCAGTCTCCTCTGATTGGTTAGCTGGCCGGCTCTGTTGTGATTAGTCAGACTAAGACAAAGGACTCCAATTGGGGGCGTTTCAGGCAGGGTGAGAGTGTGTGGGGAAGACACTCCCTCTGGAGGGAACTTTGGGATTTTAGCCTTTGTAGACCAATAACATGAAAGAAAAAAACATATAGCACACTACAGGAAACTGGAAACCCCATATGGCCTCTAACAATAACCCTTCGCTCTGTTTACCTGTGTGTTTTCTGCCAAATGGTTTGTCTTATCACCTCCTTGCATGTGCAGGTTGTGGGTCAATTGTAGCTCAGACTCAGAGAAATTATAAGGTTCAGAAGAAAAAAAATACCTTTAAACTAGAACAGTGCAGCACTCTGGGACTACAGAACTTGAGTGGCGTTAACTTGCATTACCCTCCAACTCACCTCTTGAAACTAATGTATATTTATGGCTGTCTTTAAAGGTCTGGGGGCTTATAAATCATAGTATTTCTGTTAATTCCCACCTTACAGTTAGCCTTTGGCCTTTTAATGGACCTTCCGGCAAATTAATGTCCTCCACGGACACACAAGGGTGTTGAGCTCGGGCCCTCGCAATCATCTCTGTGCTGTTAAAGCGAAGATAAAGCGTTCCGTAGACACAGTGCTTACGCCTCAAAATGTGCAAACAAATAAGCTGAGACACCCAGGAAAAACCCAGACACCCAGGTGCAAAACTAAACGCACATGCAAGATAAAGGAACAGAGTTAATGCCGAAGGATTAAGAGAAAGCTCAGTTTGTTCCAAATGTCTCATCTCCTAGTATATTATTAAGCAGGCACAAGGAGCG